TAAACATATCTTTCGAAGAAAATACAAAGAATCGGATATGTTCGATGAATTGATTCAGAGTATTCTTCAAAATCAAAATATCCTGTTTATTCCAATTACTTAGGTTGTTATTTTTTAATTCGGAAGTTTGAGCAATTCTCCATTTAATAAGATAATTCCATAATTCAATTTCATCAATATTTAAATCTTCTCTTCTTATTAATTACAGAAGGATATCTTTTTCTAATGTTGGAAGTCAAAAAAAGGTTTAGAATCATCACAAATGAAATTTAAACAATTAATTAGTTGATTACAACTTTCCATTTGGGACCCCGCTCGAAATTCTTTTGCATCCATGTTTGCTTCAACTTTGATAATATCGTCATCATCATTATCATCATTATCAAGCAATTGAGAAATATTATAAGATAATCCAGGGAAAAATACAAAGATCTGAGTAGTAATGTTTGGTTAGAATATTGTTATTTCAAAAAGTAACAAAAGAAAAAATAAATGTGAATAGACAGTCGATAACAATAAAATCGAGACATAACGTGTAAGCAGTTGGTTTATAAGTCCGGGTGAGTACGAATGATCTATAAAATCTGGATCTATACAAAATCCTATAATGCACCAGGATACCAATGACCAGTAGAATAATTGATAAAGTTTATGAGAATGGAAAAAGTCCTGTAAAAAGATTTAATGAGTTGAAGAGTTCCAGGGATTTAGAAGGTAAACTTGATAACAATTGATGAGCTATAAAAAAAAAATATATATATATATATTTTTAAATATAATAGTTCAATTCAATTAGTGCTGGAGATTTTATTGATAATGAAAATTCGCATTGATAATGAATATTCGAATTCCGAGACACACATAAAAAAAAAATATGGCAATTTTGGCAAGATGGAGCATTAAGATTAATTTTAATGTGATCTCTAAAGGAAGATATTAGTAAGTGAACTATTGGCATTATTACGTGGGTCTTAAATGCTTCACGTTTTGGTAATTCTTTATTATGGAATAGTAATGAGAAATCATTTTGGGTTTCCGAGCCATTTACTTATTGGAGTGAATAAATAATTTATTAATGAACTGCACATCATGACATGATTAATTTTATTTATTTTATTCCTTTTAGAATCTGGATTAATATTTAATATTTAGTGGGATTCTTAATAAAATCTTTAATTTAATTTCAGTGAGCATCAAGCAAAGTTTGGAAATAAAATGATTAATTTTGATTTTAATGGTGATGATTGTAAATAAGATTTGGTGATGAATTCTAAACATTCAAGTTACGCTGCAAGGATGTGAATGGGTTGAATCTTTTTATTTTAAGGGAAATTAAAACTCTAATTACTCCTTTTTGATTGATTTATAAAGGTTAAGTAAAAGCATTACAATAATCTTGGAATAATTTGCGGTTCTGTTTCTAATTTTTCTCAAATAATTTAAATATATTAAAATATCTTATAAGTTCTAAGAATGTGTTCGATATTATTATAGTTTAGAAATTTAATAATTAATTAATTTAATATTGAAATAGATTCGGTTTTCAACTCAAATTGGCTCACATTAAAAGGTTAAAGTCAACGGTGATGGTAAGAATAAATATTTAATGAAAAATTTTCTTGATTCATCTCTTTAAAAAAATATATATATCTATTACGTTTTATTGATATTAGTATGTTGCGAAATTATATTATTATGATATAATTACTTCTCATACATTATATTTAACTCGTGTAAAGTCTTATGCGACAAAAACTCTCATGATATTTTAATTTATAGAAAACTAATTCGCCACCTATTAGGTAATGAAAAAAAAAAGTTAGAGGAAAGTACTAAGAATACAAGGACAGTAAAGTGAAACTGTAATTCTAAACAATGAATAAAATAAAAAGGTAAACATGAGAAGGAGGATCATAAAAGCTACCCGAAAAAGAAGTACATGTGCAAAACCCAACAAAATTTTGATATTCATCAAAGGAGTCTACACGTTAAATAACTCTCGGGCCTGAATAGCAATTCACGGGGTAATCTGCATCAATGTCATCAAACCGCTACCCTAAGTCTGATAACAAAGATGCCACATGAAATGCTTCTCAATTTAAACCTTATAAGATCCTTTATCTACATGAAAACCTAAATCTCATTGTTATATAAAAAAACAGTTTGCACCATAAAAAAAAATTCTAAAATTGATGGACCGTTAAAGTGTAAAAGAAAATGATACTTCCTATAATAACTAAACGCCATTGTCCTAACATTATAAGAACGTACTGTACGTGGCTGCATTATGTAGAAATCGATGTTATTTCTTTACCTCATGTATTTATTGTATTATAATTAGCTAGTAGACGACGCGATTTTAGCATAAAATTTCCACCACCTATTAGATAAATGAAGGAAAAATTGTTAGATTAAAGTACTAAGAATATACAAGGCAGGAGAGAGAAACTGTAATTTACTAACAATGAATAAAATAAAAAAGTAAACGCGAGAAGAAGGATAATAACAGATACCAAAGAAGGGGTTCATGTGCAAAACCCAACAAAATTTGTATATACATCAAAGGAGCCTACACGTTAAACAACTTCTTGGGGTAATCTGCATTCACCAAACCGCTACCCCAAGTTTGACTATAAAGATGCCACATGAAATGCTTCTCAAATTTAAACCTTATTAAAATCTTAATCACCATGAAAACCTAAATCTCATTGTTAAATAAAAAAAAACTATTCTAAATAAGGGGAGGGATCGTTAAAGGGAAAAAGAAAAAGATACTTCCCTTATAAATATCTAAGTCAAAAAACTCTGGTCAATAGAAAGGTGATTGAGTGCAAATGAATTATCATATTATAAAAACAAAATTTCAAAATTTTCTCTTAGACAAAGAAGGGGCTGAGTAAACTTGATGACAGACCCATAAAATGAATTTTTATACTTAATACAAATTGTTAATGATTACAATTCAAATCGAATAATTTGAATAATTTAGGAAATCTGACTTGCCAAAAACTTATTATTACCTAATCTAATTTAACCTTTCCTCATGTAAGTTATCCTAATAAGGTCATATCGATGTAAGATTATAACGGAATGACTTTATGCAAATAAAAAATATTTTTTTATTATTTTAATCAATATTTATTGTAGATTATTTATATTAACTTAATTAATAATATGAGTCAAAAAAAAAACGTGTTTAAAAATGTCTAATACTGTAAACCAAAGTAAAAATTTTCTTGAAATCTATGACGTAAAATTTTATAGTACAAAATATATATTTGAAAGAAATTAAGTTTTGTCGCGGAGAAAAAAAGTTTTTTTTTTTTTTTTTAGAAAAGAGTGATTATCTCTTTTTGATTTATATGGAATCGAATATCTTTAACATGAAGGATTCTATAGAATGTGCCCTTCTTCCTTCAGATTCTGATCTATATCGTATCGATCTAGGAAACCATATTGCTGCACGTCGCTGTCAAACGTTAGAGAATTTTGTAAGAATAATGTACAACATAAATAGATCAACCACTATTTTAACAAACTCTCATAACGCGTCCTTAATTTGCATAAGCTGAATCTATTCGGATTTATTGCGATATCGATTTGAACATCAACTTTGATGATAAAATGATAAAATCATTTTATATTTACAATCTTTTTCAAGCGAATCTGAACATTATTGATATAATTTGAACATCTCCTTATCTACACTGAAAGCACTGAAAGTCAGTGATTCGTTTAAAATTGAGTCACGAGAAAGTAAATCACAAACGAATTGTCAAAATCTTAGAAATTAAATGGGTGGTGTGCTATTAAAATTGGTGTGCGGATCATATGATTTACTATGTCTCGTAGCTCAATTTTAATAGCATACCACCTAAATGATCTAAAAATAAAATGAGATTAAAATATTATTGTCCGTAATATCTAAAATCAACAGCATTATTCGACCGATTAATTGGCAAGTATAAAATAGTTGATATTATTCCCTTGAAAATGAATGATATCTTTTAAAAAAAAATTTTCAAGAAATTATATAATAACGTGTCGTGTCAGGATTCTAAAACTATTACATGGCTGTTTTTCATGTAAGGGTATATGGCCGATTGTTCTATTATTCAGGATAGCAACCAGTGATTCGCATGTTACCATTCTTAACCATTTATGAGAAAAATGTTTTCAAATAATGACGGCTGGTTTGAAGAAGATAATGCTCAGCCTCACAAATCGAAGTTGCAATGTCTTTTTCAACTGCAGTTACGCATTTGCAGCTGCAAAAATAACAGCAGTTGTAACAGATTCAAGAAATTCTGATAGAAAATCACGAAAGCTTCCCTTCCTCTCCTATCATACGAAAGTGTAGGATGATCCATGAAGGTATACTGAAGGACTTTTCAATTGGTAGTCAGCTAGGTTGCATTAGAAACCTCCACCGAAATAGCTTCTCTTATAGACTTCTAGAAGATCTGATCTTTTAAGTATAGAAGGTAAGCGATATTTAAAATTTATCAAAATTTATTAAAATTTTATATGATTTTATTAAGGTTTTGACACTTTCGAAATTCGACGGACTGTCTAAACCCAGGAGTTTCGTCAGGCAACTATAACCTAAAGCATTTATGTCAATATCTAATTCACAGCTGGCCATCCGGGGAACTTAAATATTACTTCGCGATTATTCATTCAAAATTGATAATTTTCTATCATCCTACCGCTTTTGACTTATTCAAAAAAGTGAAGATTTTAAAATGAGTAGTCATTATTTACGAAACTTCTTTCTTAAAAAAGTAGAAGTTCTGGTAATTTATCATGATGAGGGCATTAACTTAAACTGTCTAGATAATTTATCAGACTTTAATATAAAATAGGAAATATATGATGGGAATGATTTTAAAGATATTTTAAAAACCTTTTATTGATACACAATAGAAATATACGTTAACTAAAATCAAGATATAGTAAAATATTCCTCATAATAAAGAACATGAATTTTCAAATTAATTTCAAATCACAACCTTGAAAGTAAAGATCTCCATTTCTTTGATGGTAAATTTTTCTGAATCTAAAATTTTGCTTTCATAATATTTTTGATTGCATGTGCCAGCATTACCATTAATAACCAAATCACTGTTACCAAAATTCAACGCATGGTCATAGGTATCATAAAGTTCATATATAGCATGATCTGCACTTGCAACACGACTAATTTTCCAATCTTTTTTATCAATAGAAAATATAAAACTTTCGGTAGTATTATTCCAATAACTGTAATTTAGACTTCCTTTTAGAATGTAACCAAGAGGATTAAAACCACCAATTACGGCATCATTTTCATTAGTTTTGATAATTAAAATATACGCTCCTTGCCCATCACATTTGATACGCATGAATTTGGTATCATAACCATGCCTACTTCCTCGGTAAATGAGTTTAAAATGATATTTATTATTCTTTGAAATTTTTGTCTTATCATCTTTTCTTTGAATCCGGTTAGCAAGAATGATCGCATGTTTTGAATTAATGATTGTTGAATCAATAACTAATTTTTTGTTACGAGGAGGCGGCATATTTTGTTGAACATTTATCATATAAAACGTCACAATATCTTCAAACAGTTTTTTAGGCAACAGTTTCTTAAAAGGCCGAACCTTATCGTTAAAATCTTTTGAAGACAATTCGAAGAATCGAATGTGTGTGATGAATGGATTTAAAGTATTCTTCAAAGCCAAGAAGTCTTGTTTTTCCCAATTACTTAAATTATTCGCATCCTTTTCTTTCAATTCTGAAGTTTGAGCAATACCCCATTTAATAAGATTATTCCATAATTCAACTTCATCTATTTGTAAATCTTTACTTTTAACTAATTCAAGTAGAATACTTTGATCTAATGTTGAAAAATTAAAAAAAAATTCGAGGACTTCACTAATAAATTCTAAAAAATGATTTGTAAGTTGTTTACAATTTTTCATTTTGAGTACTGTATCGATTACTTCAGAAAAATTTTGTTCTAACCATTCACTTTGATGTTCAATCAAGTATTTTTGTATAAAAATAGCCAATTCCTCAATAATCAGTTCATCGGAAGCTATAAGAATACCATAAATATCGGAGCAAGCTTTGTTGTTCAAATCAAGAATGCCTGTATAAATATATCTAAAGTCAAAGAAAAGAAAGTATTAAACTAATATTCTTTTTCAATATTTAGTCTATTTGTTGTCAGGAATTTGACCCGCAATATTTCGGGTATCATTGTTTAATTAATTAAAATTTACACTGAGAAAACATGAAACCATTACCTAATGACTATTTCGAAAATTGTAGGCGAAATGTTTGGTTTATCCAAGATTATGACGTCATTTTTCTTCTGTGAAAGTACTCTTTTAAAGTAAGGTGACCGAGCCTTCAAAATAATAGAATGTGCACGAAACTCCTTCACATTCGAATTTTCTCCAACTTTTATAAGAACATCATAATCCTCATCATTATCAAGTAATTGAGAAAAATTTTGTGATAATTCAGGAAAAAATTCAAAGGCCTTACTATTAGGAGCTTGATTATCAGCCATATTATTTTTTTAATAATTTTTTTTTAAAAAAAAAAAGAAAAAAGAAAACAAGGTACAATGATGCAAATAATAACAAACATTATTTATATTTATATATTAAGTTTAATGTAACATGTGCACCTGTAAGCCGCGATCCACCTGTTAAGATTGAATTTTGATAACTCTGGCCAAATTTAATGCCGGCCAGCATTATGTATTTTATATGTAGCAACTCTTCCTACATGATTTTAAACTGCGTTATTCGACATGCCAAAAAGCTCGCAGATGTTTATTATAATAGTGGATCGTCGTATACAATAAAATTTCGGATCTTTTATTGGGAGAATACCTAGCGTTTTTTGAATTGAAAAAACAAGTCCAAAGAAAAATGAAAAAAGAGAAATTATACATGAAATGAATCAAAAAAGTAATTATAATTCAATAAAGAAAGCAAAATACTTTAGTGAGAATTTATATGTACAGTAAGTAAATAAATGTTTGTTATTTAAATTTCCATCATAAAAACTGTATAAACTCTGTAAATTCCTAACTCTATTAAAATCCTTTGTAATATGTAAATTTTCAACAATACGTCGGTTTTTGAAAATGATCACGAAAAATAAATAAATGTAATTTCAATGTGACATATTTTTCGCCCATACGCCTATTCAGAATTGTATACAAAAATTTATTAAAACTAACCTAAAAATTTCACTGGTTGAAACTCCTCGTAGCCAATAGTATGCATTTATTGTGACATAATTTTTTTCCACAATAGTCTCTTAGGATTTATTACAATTTTTTTCGTGTTACTTACTATATATTAAAAATAAACTTTTATATGAAGTTTCCTATTAAGATGATGGTATTTTCACACTACATAACTTTAAACTCTTCCCGTTATTTACATTTTTTCTCTAAAAAAGATTAACGCGCTGTAATTAAGTCTTTTGGGCTGCTTCTCAACATCAAATTTTTATTTGTTGATTTCAAAAAAGCGGGGTGTATTACTATCAAATTTTAGATCTTTTAATGGTAAAATCAATTGACATGATATATTTATTAATTCTAACATAGATGATTTTTGATTACAAAATTATTGTTTTCAACATGAGTTTGAGGAATTTAGAGTATCTATTATAAAAGCAACTAAAAAAAAAAAATACTGGAATTTGTCCGAATTGATCAATTTTACAAAAAAAAAACAATTATACATAATATTTGATTTTATTAATCCATTTATACCCCGCTTCTTTTGGAAGCTTCGTAATCGGATAGATAAATTTTCTTTACCTAAGCTCACTTGAGCAATAGAAAATTTTAGAATAAAGCCTATAAGAATAAAATATTTGATTTTTATTTTTTGATAATTAATTATCGCTTCAATTACACAATATTTAAATATTTTTATGAAAATTAATGATATAAAATTAAAAAACATTAAAGAAAAAGAGCTTTCAAATAACTTTATATTACTAAACCTTGAATGCAAAAATCTCCATTTCTTCAATGGTAAACTTGACTTTATCCAAAATTTTGCTTTCATAATATTTTTGATGCCAGCATTACCATTAATAACCAAAATCACTGATAACAAAATTCAACGCATGTTCATAAGTATTATAAAGTACATAATTTGCATTTGCAACACGACTAATTTTCGAATCTTTTTTATCAATAGAAAAAATAAAACTTTCGGTAGTTCTAGTCCAATGACCGCCGCAGCATTGGCCGTTTCCATAATTGTCATCATTATAATTTGTTGTAGATAGTAACCAAGAGGATTATAACCACCAATCACAGCATCATTTTCATTAGTTTTGATAATTAAAATATGTGCTCCTTGTCCATCTCAATCCAGTTCGCAAGGTTAACAGCATCTTTTGGTTTAAAGATGTTTGAGTCAATATCAATTTTTCCATGTCGAGAAGACAATACAATATTGTTTGATTAGGTTGAATACTTGTTGTACTTGTCATATGAAACGACATAACTTCTTCAAAGAGGCAACATTTTCTTATAAGGCCAAATCTTGTTAAACATATCTTTCGAAGAAAATACAAAGAATCGGATATGTTCGATGAATTGATTCAGAGTATTCTTCAAAATCAAAATATCCTGTTTATTCCATTTACTTAGGTTATTATTTTTTAATTCCGAAGTTTGAGCAATAACCCATTTTATAAGACATTTCATCAATATTTAAATCTTATTAATTCAAGTAGAATATCTTGAAAAATCCGGCAAGTCAAAAAAAGTTCAAGATCATCACAGATGAATTTTAAACATTATTCGTAAGTTGTTTACAACTTTCTATTTAGGATATCTTGCGAAGTACTTTAATAATTTTTTGCTGCAACCATTCATTTTGTTTTTCAAAAAAAATGCTTTTGCACAAAATTAATTAATTCCTTCATTAATTCATCAGAAGTTACAAATAGTTCAAGCAAGTAAGTTTCAAATCCTGTATACATATATCTATAATCAAAAAAGAAAAAAAATATTCAACCTTTTAGAGATATTTATCAATAGTGTTGCAATTAATATTAGCATATTTTTTCTTTGAGATTGCGAAATAATTCAAGAAAACCAAAGGGATGGATTGGAGAAAAGCAATGCAGTATATTCAATGTCGTATTTAATATTAGTTTATTTTATTTTTATTATCATTTTATTATTTTATTATTATTATTATTTAGTATTATTTTATTAATACAATGTATTAAAATTCAACTAGCGATTATTTAGTTACTTGTTTCGGAGCCAAATTTATCCACTGGCCATTGAAAAGGCATTAAATCGAGAAGGAGGAAATGGCATGACAGAGACATCAAAAATATAATAATATTAAAATGCGCGTGAATTTACGCAGCAAATGTTTGAAATCAAGAAATAAAATAATATTTATGCAATCCAAAAGGTTTGTGTAGTGTATTAGATAAAAGTAATCTTTTCTACTCAATTAAATGTAAAGAACAGATGAATTATATCCAATTATTATTAGTATCAGCTTTCTTTTAATTCCAATACTAATAGAATAATTTCTTTTTTTGATGTTTTCTATTTAGGTCATTGTATATTCTTTGAATCACGTAATTTAATTATAATTAAGCATTCTTTTTTTTATTATGTCCGCTTTAGTATAAAATTTTTATTTATTATTATTGCTCTTGTATTTGACAATAAATAAATATAATTTGGAAAAATGAATTCACTTCGTTTAAATTATAAACATATTTAAAACTTTTTATAGATCAATATAATTTATTTAAGATAAAACAAACGGTTTTAAATATTTTATATTACGCAACCTTGAAAGTAAAAATCTCCATTTCGTCGATGGTAAACTTTTCTGTATTTAATATTCTGTTTTCATAATATTTTTGATTGCATGTGCCAGTTTTACCATTAATATTTACCGAAATTCAGTGAACCATCACCATATATTGCTCTGCTGTTATTTGTAACTCGACTAATCATAAAGTTTTTCAAATCTTTTCCATTACCTAAAGAAAATATAAAACTTTCTCTAGTTTCACACCAATCATATGACGACGAATGAAAATTTTCATATCTTTTCATATCAGGTGGAATATAACCACCAATCACAACATCATTTTCTTTAATTTTAACCATCAAAACACACGCTCCCGGCCCTTTAAATTTACTACGTATAATACGGTCATCATAACTCTCCCTACTTCCTCGATAAATAAGGTTAAAATTATATTTATTACCCATTAGAATTTTTGTATTGTCATCTTTCCTTTGAATCCAGTTTGTAAGAATGACTGCGTATTTTGGATTAATGATTATTGAATCAACAGCAATATTTCTATGACGAGGAGGCATTATATTTCGATTAGGTTGAGCATTTGCCATATGAAATGACAGAATATCTTCAACGACATCTTTAGATAAAATTTTCTTAAAAGGCCAAATATTATAATAAAAATTTTTTGAAGGGATTTCGAAGAATCGGATATGTTCGAAGAATTGATTCAAAGTATTCTTCAAAGCCAAGAAGTCCTGTTTTTCCCATTACTTAAATTAGAGCAATTCCCCATTTAATAAGATAATTCCATAGTTCAATTTCATCAATTTTTAAATCATCTCTTTTAAATAATTCAAGCAGAATACTTTTTTTTAATGTTGGAAATTCTGGTAAGTTAAGAAATGATTCAGGATTATCACAGATGTATTCCAAACAATTATTCTTAAGTTGTGTACAACTTTCTATATGGGACACCGTGTGAAGTACTTTGATGATATTTTGTTGTAACCATTCATTTTGTTTTTCAAATAAATGACTCTGTACGAAGATAATAAGTTCCTCAAGGAGTAATTCATCGGATGCCACAAGAAGATCAAGAATCTCGTTGCCGGTTTGATCGTTCAGATCAAGAATGCCCGTATACATGTATCTATAATTTAAAAATAAATAAATAAATAAATAAATAACATAATTTACTATTAAAATTCTTTTCGAATATGTATGTATTACCTGATAATGATTTCAAAAATAGTAGGAGAAATATTAGGCTTTTTAAATGTAATAATACCATTTTTATTAGTAATCCAATTTTCAGACAGAGCTCTTTTAAAGTAAAGTGATCGAGCTTTCAAGATAATAGAATGTGCATGAAAATCTGTTGTATCTAAACCTTCTCCAACGTTGATAATAACATAATAATCATCTGCATTATCAAACAATTGAGAAAGGTTTTGAGACAATCCGGGAAAAAAATCATAAGTCATACTAATAAAGTTATCAATTTTATGTATTAATAAAAAGAGGGAGAATAAGTTCATGAAAATGGTTGACATTTCTAAAAATGTATCAATTCTTGCTGCACCATGATTATCACCAATGATGGAGGCGTTTGTCATAATTCCCGACTATAATAAATAAAATTTTAATTAGGCAACGAGGGACCCGGAGCAAGTGTAGCGAAATGAACCAATCGCGTATTGACTCAATTTTTGAGCGGGCGGACAACGTGTCACCTTGCGTAGAATTATATAGTCCTTCGCTTCAATTAATTTCATGAATACAAATTCAAATAATCAAGGACTCGTCCGATATTCGAGAATTAATTTAATTTAATCTTAGCAAATATCGTTAAAACATTTTATTCCGAAGCGATTCGCTCACTTGATAAAATTGGAATTCTATTAACAATAGTTTCCATTCCGTCATTTACCTTTCGGCAAAATACAACAAGCATATGTATGATGCGACACCGTTAATTTCAAATTTCATAACATTTTTTAAAAATCATGAGAATCTTATTTATGATATATCAACATATTTTTTATTTAAATTATACGAGGACAATAATACAACACATATGAGAAGACTAAATAAGCAAATATAATAGTACTTTAAATGATTGGCGGCCAAGAATCCAAGGAATGGGGTATCCAAAAGGAACATCGAGAATACCTACTCGTGATTTAGATATTTTAGTTAATTTATCATATGTAATAGTTTTTTAGTAACATTACTATCGATTGCATAAATGAAATATTTTATTCATAGTTTGAAGTAATATGTTGAATTCGTAAAATCAAATTTGAAAATACCCACAAATTTCGATTTAGTGCAAGTGATTGTGCCATTAATCTTCTTGCACAATGTAGGAAAACTCGATTTACCGACATTTGACGTGTCCATGATATGGCAAAATTATCTTATGATCATTGACGCGTTATTAGACGATAATTTCATTTCAAAATAAAGAATCAAATATTTCAAATATTATAAATGTAATTTAATTATTTTTTTGAAAACGCAGTTTGGAATTCAGACGGTTCTAATAAATGATTATTTTCAAATTTTAGCGATTCCCTTACAAAAGAAATGAATATTTTTTATTTTTCTAAAAAAAATTAATGTACGGTATTTCTTAATCCTATTTGCTTTTAAAAATTCTAAAAATCTCCATTTCGTCGAACATAAAATACTCCCTATCAAAAATGCTAATTTCATAATTTTTTTTCTTACACGTACCACTCTTATTAATATAATTAATGACCAAGTCACTATTACCGAAATTCAATCTCGATGAGTTATTCGTGTCATATATTGCCTTAACGCAACTTAATACTCTACTAAGCTTTGTATCTTTCAAATCTCTTTTAAAAGAGAAAATAAAACTTTCATTTGTGTTCACCCATGGATCATATAAACAATTATTATGCTTCCAACCAATTGGATTATAACCACCAAGTATAGTTTCATCATCTCTGATTTTAATAATCAAAACCGTTGCTTTATTCCCCAATCTACATGAACAAGTCACAGGAGTGATTTCAGAACCATCTCTACTTGCACGATAAATAAGCTTAAAATCATATCTACTATCATTATGGATATTTGCGTTAGCATCTTTCTTTTGAATCCAATTATTAATAATGGCCGTATGTTTCGAATTAATTATCGTTGAATTAACATTAATTCTTCCATGACGAGGTGTTATTTTTGGAATAGGTTGAGCATTTGTCATATGAAATGACAAAATTTCTTCAACTAGTTCTTGAGATAAAATTTTCTTAAAAGGCCAGATCTTATTATAAAAATCTCTTGAAGGAATTTCGAAGAATCGGATGTGCATGATAATTTGATTCAAGGTATTTTTCAAAGTCATAAAATCCTCTTCATTCCAACTACTTGAATCAGACACGTCCTTCCCCCTTAATTCTGAAGTTTGAGCAATTCCCCATTTGATAAGATAATTCCATAATTCGATTTCATCAATTTGAATATCTTCCCTCTTGAGTAATTCAAGTAAAATTATTTTTTCTAACGTTGAAAAATCCGGTAAATTAAAAAAAGCTTCAGGAATTTTACAGATACGGTTTAAACAAAAATCCCTAAGTTTTTTAAAACTTTCTACTTGGAATATTGAGTGAAGAACTTTAACAAAATTTTGTTGTAACCATTCGCTTTGTTTCTCAATCAAATAATTTTGTAAAAAAATCATTAACTCATCAAAAAGTAACTCATCGGCTGCTAAAAGAAGATCAAGGATATCAAAGTTATCTTTTTCGTCCAAATCAAGAATACCAGCATATATATATCTAAAATTTTTTTAAAAAAAAAAATAAATTTATAAAGCATAGCGAGAAAGCTTATGTTCACAATAGCTAGGTTAGGAAATAAAGAAATCCTTACCTAATGATCATTTCAAAAATCGTAGGAGAAATATTTGGTTTCTCAAAGATAATTATATTATTTTTCTTTGCAATCCAATTCTCTGAGAGAGCTCTCTTAAAATAAACTGATCGAACTTTCAAGATGATAGAATGTACATGAAATTCTTTTATATTTTGATTCTCTCCAACTTTAATGATAAGATCATAATCCTCTGCATTATCAAGATACTGAAAATAATTTTGAGACAATTCAGAAAAAAATTTAAAAACCATTTTTTAAACAAAATTTTAACAGAAAAGATTTACGCCAATCGTTTTAAATGGTTTCACTAAAAATGATCCGTAACGTGATTTTAATAATCGATAAAAAAAAAGCGAGCTTCCTTTGTTCTAAAAATAATTTTTTTTTTTTTTTTTTTTTTTACAATTGAACTCTTTTTCATTGCTTGAAAATATTCGATAATTTTCTTTTTGTCGAGAAAATGAACCTCGTAGATGTCATTTGTATTTTCAGTTTTTGAAGATTAAACCCAAGACAAATTTGTCTATTTTTAATCTAAAAATTTATTAATCTTTTTAATAATGTAATGATTTAGTTTGCAAAGTTTTTAGATAATTATAATTGATAATTTCTTAGACTTATATCTTTGACCATTCAATCGAAATTTCACCGTTAGCTCATAACATTGCTTATGGGTATAAGCGAAAAAAAAAATAAACCGATTGAATAAAAAGAAATATAGACAAGCTTGATCAAAAAAAAAAAAAAAATGCTGTCTCCTGATACTTTTTCCAGCTTTAAATCGTTTCCTTTAGGAAAATTTAAAATTCTCATCATACATTCCAAGTTTTCGTAAGCTTGAAACTACAAATGGCGTCGTGTATCATTGTATTTATTCGAAATACTAGGTCAGCTTCGTCACAAAAAAATCTTTAATAAGCTATTTTCAAAAGTATTTTTAGTAGCAATGCGCGTAATGTCTATTTATTGTGGTGATAATAAAGGGTTTAGCATGGACTCCGGAAGATTCTGGGTACAAGTACAGGAGTTTCGTTTCGATGAACTCTCGTTCATCAAGAATACTCTTTCAAATAATAAAAATTTCTTTCTTTCTCTGTTAATGACAAAATCTAAATAATGCTTACGAAATATATTTCAGTTTCACGAAAAATATCAGGGAGAGATGTTTTAAACACTGGCTCTAAATTAAATATATTAAGGTAAATTTACTTCACCTTTACTGATTTATTATCATCATTATTTTTTGATTGTTTTTGAACCGTTTGATGAAAAAAATTATTTTTGATGATTATAACATACTTCGTCGGACGATATATAAGTAACGTATCTTACAGAAACAATAATAATATTAACTAAAATTTCAAAAAAATCGAAAAAGATATTCTCTAAATCCATCTTTTTATTTTTTTTTTTTGGTTGCTAATATAGCGTAACTATAAATCTTGTCAAATATTATTATCACAAAAAAATTTACAAGTTAAAAATCTCTGAATTTACAAAAGTTATCACGTTGAAATTATAATACAGTATCTTGCTAATTATATATTAAAAAATACTAGTAAAAGGTATAAAAAAACTATAAATATAAAAATAGACAAAATAAACGATACTTTTTTCAGAGGTTAAAAATAGACAAAATAAACGATATTGTTTTCAGAGGATTAAAAGCAAAGATCTCATGGTAAATGCATTTATATCTAAAATCCTACCTTGGTAGGATAGCTGATCACATGTACCTTTATTAACATTAACAACCAAATCGCTATTACCAAAATTCAAATCGTTGTTATAAATTGCCCTACTGCTATTCGTTACTCGACAAAGCTTAAAATCTCTAAAATTGTTTCCATCACCTAAAGAAAAAATAAAACTTTCATGGGTGGATCCCCAATATGACCATCATGTCCAATTTGATTGCTATTCCAACCGAGTGGATTATAACCTCCAATTATGGACCCATTCTCTTGAACCTTGATAATTAAAATACACCTGTCTATTACATTTGTTACGTATTATATTGATATCATATCCATCTCTACTTCCACGATAAATCAGTCTAAAGTGATTTCTACCCTTTGGGATTTTTGCGTCGGCTTCTTTCCCTTCAATCCAGTTTGCAAGGATGGTCGCATGCTTTTATTTGATGATTGTTGAATTAATAGCAATCTTTCTATGACGAGGAAACTTATTTTGCCTAGGTTGAGTATTTGACATATGGAACGATACAATCTCCTCAAAGAGTTCTGCAGGCAACACCTCCTTAAAAGGCCAAATATGGTTATAAAAATCTCTAGAAGTAATATCTAAGAATCGAATGTGTAACATAAATTGACTTAAAGTGTTTTTCAAAGCAATGAAATCCTCTTTACTCCAACTACTCAAATTATTCGTATTCTTTCCTTTCAATTCCGAAGTTTGAGCAATTCCCCATTTAATAAGGTAATTCCATAATTCTATTTCTTTAATTTGCAAATCTTCCCTCTTAAATAATACAAGTAGTATATTTTTTTCTAACATTGGAAAATTTTGCGAGTTAAAAAAAGTCTCAGGATCTTCACAAATTGAATCTAAACAAATTCTTGGAATTTTTTGCAACTTTCTAATTGGAATACCGTATGAAGAACCTTGATGAAATTTCGTTGATACCATGTAGTTCTGCTTTCGTTTTCAATCAAATACTTTTGTACAAAGATTACCGTTTCCTCAAGAAGTAATTCATCAGATGCTACAAGAAGATCAAATATATCCGATCCAGTTTGATTTTCAAAATCTAGAATGCCAGTATACATATATCTAAAAAAAGAATAAGAATTAAAATTGAAACAATTATAGTAATCGTATATCAATTTTAATACGTTGTTGATAAAATAACATGAATTTTTGAGTAATTGGCACGCTCCAAGATGATTACCTGAGAATCATTTCAAAGACAGCAGGAGAGATGTATAGTGGATCATATTATTTTCTAATGTATTCCAGTTCTTTGAGAAAGCCTTTTAAAGTAATGTGATCGTGCTCTCAAGATATTCGAGTGAACACGAAATTCTTTTATGTTCGGATCCATTCCAACTTTGATAATGACATCATAATCATCCGCATCTTTAAGAAAATCTAAAAAATTTTGTGACAATCTATCAAAAAATTTAAAAGTCATTTTTTTTTTTAAAAAAAAAAAAGAAAAAATGATTATTTTTTACGATCAACCGCCCAATTTATTCTGATGTCATGGATCAGCATCATATTGTGTAACATAATATTATATATTTAAACAAAAAAACTTCAAAAAACTCTCTTTTCTTTTAAAAAAAAAATGACTTCAATATTTCATTCAAATCTTTCAAAGGATCTTTCTTTAATTTTAAATGATGCAGATGATTTTAATGTTATAATTAGAGTTGGTGAAGATCAAAATGTAAAAGAATTTTATGCACATTCAGTTATTTTAAGAGCACGTTCTCCATATTTCAAAAGTGCCTTTTCATCGAATTGGATTACAAAAAAGAATAATATGATCATATTTAATAAACCAAATATCACACCAATTGTTTTTGACATGATTTTAAAGTAAGATTGATTGTTTTATTTATTTTATTTATTTAAAGCGGTTCACTGTAAATTTTTTATAAAGAAAACAAATAAAAAAAAACCAACTTAATTATTCCTATTTTAAGATATATTTACACAGGTGAACTAGATTTGACCGAGCAATTAGGAGAAGATGTTCTTGAATTATTAGTTGCATCAGATGAATTAATGCTTGAAGAATTATTAGAACATGTACAATATTACTTGATTGAAAGAAAAGCTAACTGGGTTCAACAAAATTTGGTCCTAGTTCTTCATACGGTGTTCAACGTTGATGGTTTCAAGAAGTTACAAGATTATTGTCTTGAATTCATCTGTTTAGACTCGCAATTACTTGTTACTTTGAAAGAATTTCAATCATTAGATAGAGACATTCTCTATAGCTTGCTTGCGCGAGATGACTTACAGATTGACGAAGTCGTCATATGGGAATGTTTAATAAGATGGGGCATTGAACAAACTCCTGGATTGGGAAGTGAGAACGGTGATATAACGAAATGGAACGACGAGAATTTTGAAGCTTTTAAAAAAACGTTGAGTCAATTTATTCCTCTCATTCGATTTGTGAGAATGTCATCCACTGATTTTTTTGACAAAATTACTCCTTATAAGGATATTGTTCCCAAACATATATATGAAGAAATGATGGATTTTTATGATGCGGGTACCTTTCCAAAAGCGACAAATTTACTGCCGCGAGCCGGAATCATTCAAATCGAATCGAATATTATGAAATACAAACAAGCTCTTATAATTGCCAATTGGATCGAAAAGAAAGACGCAAAAGTTACTCGTAGTAAGAATGATTCATTGTACGAATTTAAACTTTTGTTTCGCGGTAGACGCGATGGATTTGACAATATCTCATTTAGAAGTAGGTGTAATGGACAAGGAAGATGTTTAGTTTTAATTAAAGTTGATTCTTCACCAAAAATACTTGGTGCATTTAATCCATTAGGATTTAAGGATAATGATATAGGCCAATGGTATAACACACAACATAGTTTTTACTTTTCTTTTGATAATGAATTAGATACACAAAATATGAGAATTAGTCGTGTTAAAACTAGTTGCGCATTTCATGAATTTCGCAGTCATGGATTAAATTTTGGAAATAGTTTTATGGTAGAGGATCAAATTTTAAAAATCCATAAAACGAATCATTATGAGACTGACTTAAATTCAACTGGCAGTTATCAAATTAGAGAAATGGAAGTCCTTAGTGTAATTATACGATAATCTTTTATTGACTAATGGAAAGTTTGATATAAAATTATGTGATTTTAAGAATCTGTGAAATAATTATATATATAATTTTGAATAAGACTTTATTCGAATAAAGCTCCTGATTAGGTAAATGTTACTTCATAATATTTCTGATAGTTCACGCGTCTATTGCCTTAATTCAATGATTAATATGATAATATGCTTCGCATCACGTATTGCGTGGTTTCATTGTTTTTTTTTTGCTGGAAACTTGGCCAAACTTAATATCTTTCGAAAGAAAAAATATTGTATTGCCATATAAAACAATACCATAACGTCTTTCTAAAGTTTACATCGAAAAATATGTAATTTTTTATGAAATATGTAAGAAGATTTCTGCTGAAACGTTCCTGTATCTATCCGAGATTTCGTACATTAAAAAGCAAATCATCATTTCATAAGCTGATCGAGCGACCGCAAACTCTTATAGTTCTATTAAATCCTGAGATTAGAAGTACGTATGATGATATTTGAACGCATCAAAGCGATAGATAATTCGGGTGGATTTTAACAACCCTAGCCAATAACTATTACTCAAAATGGATTAAATTCCATCCTGATCCTAGTATAGTTAATTTTTAATAAAATTTATTTTGTTAATTTAAAGAGCTTTTTTTTATGAACGTGTTGACTATATGCAGAACGTTGACTGAATGTTCGTTCACAAAAAAGGCATTTGAAACTCATATTAATTGATATATGTTATACAATTATTAAAAATTTGATAAAAAGTTTAATGGTTCGCAATTATTAAGCGTCAATTTTGATACATTTTTTAAAGAGCGTAAAATTTATCTATCACAGTGGAATCTTGATGATTGTTCTTATTGCGAATGTAGAATTGCGGCTGTTTGCTGCATCGGAATCCACCGCATTTCTGATTTATTTGACGATCATTCTTATTGTTACAAATGTAAAATTGCGGCTGTCTTCTGCATCAGAATCTGCCGTACTTTTGATTTATTTGACAATTGTTACGAATGTAAAATTACGAAGCTGTCCTATGCAATAGAATCTGCCGCATTTTTGATTTGTTTAACGAATGTTCTGATTGTTGCCAATATAAAATGCGAAGCTATCCGCTGCATTTTTTTTATTTGACAATCGTTCTTATTGTTACGAATGTAAAATTGCGGCTGACCTCTGCATTGGAATCCACCGCATTTTTAATTTTTTTGATGATCGTTCTTATTGTTGTGAATGTAAAATTGCGAAGCTGTCCACCACATATTTTTTATTTGATGATCGTTCTTATTGTTACGAATGTAAAATTGCGACTGTTTTCTACATCAGAATCCACTGCATTTTTGATTTATTTGACGATCGTTTTTATTGTTGTGAATGTAAAATTGCAAAGCTGTCCGCTGCATTTTTTTTATTTGACGATCATTCTTATTGTTACGAATGTAAAATTGTGACTGTCTGCTATATCGGAATTCATCATATTTTTGATTTATTTGACGATTGTGGCGAATGTAAAATTGCCGTCCGCCGCATTTTAACATATTTTACAGTAATTTTGCTATAAATTTTTTTCTTTTAGTAATAATTATTAGTTTTTCATTTCCTATATAAATCAAC